TTAAATTTGTCGTTTAAATCAACAATATTAATTTCATTTACGATACTTAAATCTACAGTTGCTGCTTCTTCGGTAGTGGCTCTGCAGTCCTCATTGATGACGAGGGCATATAAAGTTGAAGCTACGTCATCTTCACAATTAGTGCCAGGGGCATGGACGCTAGACAGGCGATTAATTAATAACGTTGCAAATACCGACTCAAACCTTTCGGGTGTAGGGTTGGTGTTGCGACAACCATGACTCCTGACTGAACCGAAAAAATTTTCTAGTGGATCTTGATTTAGGTGCCGCATCCAAATTGAGTTCACCTCATATTTTTTACCTATAATATTAATCAATGTCTCAATGCCATCTAGCGTCCATATCCAATTGCTTAATGTTGGAACATATTCAATTTTATCCCCTTTAATGAAATTCATTTCTTTTAACATTTCTTTTGATTCCTGCCAAATTTTTTTGTGAACAGATGTATGCGTAACAGGTTGTAGAGCCGGCTTTGCATATCGGTATTTTTTTTTGTAGCTGCCATTCATGGTATCAAATAATGTGTCAAAAAATAGCAAAATGTAAGCTGTGTCCTTACATTCCTGAGGGATAACATCATTATCTGAAACAAAATATAAATTATCAAAATCAATACTTTATCTTTCGTCTAAAAAAATCTAAGAACCGGTACGTTTATTAAACTAGAAAGAAAGATTTAAAAATTTTGATGTTTTATTATTGGGAGTGCTTTAAATCTATAACGTATTGAACTGAATACATAGTACCCATAACTCACTAATATTAGAACTGATATAACAAATAAATATTTAATCTGGTGTCAAGAGATTTCAAGATTACAACTCTTTAAGCTTGAGAGAATTTATTTATTTTCTTTTTAAAATATTTTGTCCTAAGTATTACATGTTTCTAGGAAACAATCATTCAATTTGTGACAAGCTGGTACTTAATAGGCCAAAAGAATATCAAAATGTAAGTAGTTTATTCTCATTAAATAATTGTTATTACTATTATTCTATCTATATTGTCACGCATTTTTCCTGGCGGGGAAGGCAGATACCACTTCTTTCCATTCTTTACGATCCTGACATACTTTTCTCGCCTCCTCCACACGAATCGACCTTTTCATTGAAGAACGCCGCGGTTTAGTGTACTTTTGACTTGGCCTTTCTTTAATACGTCCGCGATTTGGTCGTGGTACATTCGTAGGTCTTCCCCTTCCAGTATGCCCTGTCACACTTGCCTTATATATCTCCTTTCACTCATCCTTTCAATGTGGCCAAACCATTTAAACATCCCTTTTTCAATCTTTGTCAAAGAAGATATTTCGTTCATGCCACATCACTCTTTTATCACACTGTTAAAAACTCTGTCACTCATGACCTAATTTCCCTTTTTTGTCAATGCATGCATCTAACTAAATAACATTAATACATACCAGCTAGAAATCCCATATGAGAGGCTACCGTCTGACTAAAAATTTGTGTTGCATATTTCACTTTCATTTTGCTAATTTTGGCTGGCTTTACATGGTTCTCTGTAAGTTTGGGCATCAATCTTATCCCTTCGAATGCTGGACACTTATCATAAAGACATTCTATATGAGACCATTTGGCAATTCTTGTTTCCTTTTCTTTTTTGTACATTAAATTTTTCACCAGCAAATTATTTCGCACACACTTAATCAAATGGGGTGGATCATAAAGAGGTACGATTTCAGACGAGTCTATTAAAAATATATTATTTTTTGGCTCTTCTCCTCTAGCTAGCCACATACCTCTCGACTCTTGTATTAAATATTTTATTGCATTTCTATTGCCAGAGCCTTGGTCACAGACTGTCGCCACCACTGTAAAACCTGCTTCCGATATTTGTTTTATAAATAACTTTATTTGTTTGGCCAACTCGGGACCTTTTGTTGCTGACTGCGAAAATGTGTAGCCAATAGGCTGCTTATAATTTTTGACCAAGCCCCGAATCATAAATACCTGGGCATGGTCAGCAAATTCTTTAGTGATTTCCTCACCATTATTTACAAAGCCAATAATTTTATCTAATCTTTCATTGTATGTGATGTTAGCTTTCAATGCCATTTCATCAAATAATAAAACACAAAGTTTGTCAGATGGCTTCATATGTTGGGCCTTTTTTGCCATCTGTGAAAAAATTTTTTTATTTATACCTGGCTGTATATTGGCTGCAGATATTAGTTTTATTAATGTTGGAGGAGCTGGTAGCACAAAGATTTTTCTTAAAAACCTATATCCTTTAGGGCTTTGTTTTAATAGTGATAAAGCCACAATTTTTTCCTCTAATGTGAATCGTCTCCCTTTACCCTTCTTTTTCGTTTCTCGTAATTGCAGCATGGTGAGAATTTTCGCATTTTTGGGGAGATTTTCCAAGGCTTTTAGAGCTGAAGAGTTTGCCATAATATTTTTTGCGGTATTAATAGCTGCTGCCTGCTTCTTTATTTTATTTTCACATTTTCTCAACTTAGCTCTAGTGGCAATGAGTTTTCTGTATAATTTTAGTTCAGCAAGTGACTTGCTTTGTATTTTGAAAGTTGTTTTTGTATCTAAACGAAAAAAGAAAAGAATTAAAGCAGTAAGTTAAAGCTTGATTTTTGTGAGAATATTTTGAGTACTGTGAAATAGAGTATGAATGAAATGATTATTCCTTTTATTGAACATTTGTTAAATTTTAAACTATGTTTGTATTATATAACAGAGATTTATAAGTTATAAAATACCTTTTGAAGTAGATGGTATACACTCAATGACATTTTCTTCGGAGCCCAACAGTGTTGTTCTTGATTTAATTTTGTCTGAAAGTATTATATATATCATAATTAATCTTAATTTAGAATGTTTCAAAAAGCTTGTTATAAAAAGTTTACTTACGACTAGATGTTGATTGTTCTTTAGTTAAGGAAAATAATTCCTTAGTATGATCAATTGCTATTGTATGTTCATCTGAAAAAAAAATCCATAGTATATTTATTTACATAAGAACTTAATTTGGAATAGCTCACCATTTGTTATTAAAATAAATTTTATTTTATCACATGGCAGTTGCAATAGCAGTTAAATATAAACTAAAAACATTAAACAATTATAAGCCAGTGTTTATCTAGTGTAAATTGAACCTCAAAAACTTCATTACAGCTACCCCGTGACTGACCGTGATTGTAATCGTTTCAGCACTAGTACTGGTGTTGAAAATACTGATTTTCTAACCCACCTATAGACCCTGTGTAACCTTTATCCATAACCATATTACTAAAATATTATCCTAATACAAATTGTTAAGTTAGTCATTTTAGTGCAATTGAAATTAATCTACATTACAATTAAATGAAACAGCCTTTAAATGGTTTCATTGTCTTTTTTCAATAAATAGCTTAATCTTATGTGAACACTGAACCTGTAAAGGGTCTGAAACTTCAATACAAACATGATGAAACCATTTAAAAGATGTTTCATTTATGAATAGAGCGCATGAAATTATAAGAAATCAATACATTACAATTAAATACCTTTTGAAGTGGATGGTAGACTTTCAATTATATTTTCTGTAGAGCTCAATGGTCGTTTTCTTGACTGACACTTATCTGAAAATAATAATGTACTTCGTTTTGATTCAGAAATTGAAATTCAAGAATTAGCATAAAATAATTTACTTACAACTAGATGTTGATTGGCCGTCAGATTTATTTTCCTTTGATTGCTCAACATCTGGTATGTGTTTAACTGAAAACAAAAGTCTCTTGAAAAATTAAGAACATACAAACTTATTATGGATAACGAGTTTGAAATAGCAGTCAATCTCAATCGAAATTAATGGAATGAGGAAAAGATAAATATGTAATTCCTAAAGTTTAGATAATATATCGTTAAAAAAATTACCTGGCACATTCAGAGTTGGAATTGCAATGTTAGAAAGCCTATTGTTCCGACAGTGAAATTTTTTCTCAAAATGTGCATGACACACACGACGATATTTATAAACAAATTCGTCAGGTAAATCTAGTATATGTCCACCCACAGACGATCTCCAAGATTCGAAACGCTCTGTTTCTTGTTTTGGATGAGGAAACAAGTGGAGTACAGGACATGAAACTGCAAGAGAGAAATACAATTATGTAGAAATAAGCACGGAGACAATGTTTTAGCAATAGAATCTTTAAATGGAATTCATTTACGAACCACCACGAGCCTCAGAGCACCCAGGTACACAACACATTTTGTCAGATGGCATTATGGAAGTGATAAAGAGTCCTATCTCACAATAAATAAATCAATTTCACAATCAAATATTGTAGCACTACCGGAGGAGAGAACTCGACTCAACGGATTTACATAGAAGCACGAATTTAAGACTTAAAAACAGCAGAAACGCAACGTTCACAGCTCAGAAACCATGACATTAAATTGTAATCTTTGACATTTTAAATAAAACGTTTTTGGTAGTGTTTTTTTTATATATTTGTAGTGTTACTCTATTCAAACGTGTTTAATACCATTTTTCAAATATTGTACCTTCATACGATAACGATTTCATAAAAATAAAGGTAGTTTTATTTGTGTCAAATTTATCGATATTAAAGTTTTCTGTAATTCTTTAGAAGAAAAGATTAAATGGAAGTTCTGTTAGAGCTAAAATTGTACCAAATAGAAAAAAAAATTAAAGAAGGGCTACATTGTAGCCCATAATAATGAAACTAAACTAAAAAGGTCATTGTTAGTAAAGTTTATGAGTGTTCTTTTGTGACAACTCAATTAAATAATATAATAGCGATACTATTGCCATCTATACGCGTGAGTGGTCAACTAATGTCCATATTATGAGACTAAATTAAAAAATAACATATTATATTCAAACGTATGCGGATATCGATCAATTTAAATTAACCATCTTATTTCGTTGTAGAACCTAATACTTTGTTCTGAGTTTAACGTCCCTGCTCTATTATCTGTGTATTCTATGAATGAACGTCTAATGAGAGAAAAATAATGAAAGATGATCAAGTTCCTGTTTTACAGTAATGTTAAATTAAATATTTAAAAAGTATTTCATTGTGTTCTGTGATTTAAACACTACTACGCTACTTTTGTATGTGTTCTTTTATCATTAGTTCTATTTGGACGATATATATACCAAAACTAATTGAAGTCAAAATATGTTGTGCGACCCAATAAATTGACAATGGTATGTTCAAAACAAATAAAAATTAAGATTGTGTGAGAGAACTGGGCGTTTTTTCAATGTTTACTGTTTTCAGAGTTACCAAGACGAGTCTAACTGTTATGTGGGATCCTTTCCAAAAGATTTCAGTTATGGTCCATTTGAACAGAATGGAGACGATGACAATACGTCATTGCAAGAGGATCATAAACCTCGAATACTGCTCATGGGTTTGAGGAGGTACATATCAAGACTATTAAAAATAATTTTCTAATTATGTATTATTGTTTTGCATGATTATTCAAATAATTTTTCGTTTCTAGATCAGGAAAGTCATCTATCCAAAAGGTGGTGTTTCATAAGATGTCACCAAATGAAACTTTGTTTTTAGAATCAACCAACAAAATTGTTAAAGATGATATCAATAACAGTAGTTTTGTGCAATTTCAAATATGGGATTTTCCTGGACAAATTGATTTTTTTGATCCAACGTTTGATTCCGATACCATTTTTGGTGGATGTGGAGCATTGGTTTTTGTCATAGACGCTCAGGTATTGCGTTAAAGCCTTTCCTTGAAAATGATGTACTTTTGGTGATAATTAGATTAACATTTCATTTTACTGTAGGATGACTACCAAGATGCTTTGGATAAATTGCAACAAACAGTAACCAAAGCTTATAGAGTTAATAATAATATCAAGTTTGAAGTGTTCATCCACAAGGTAAATTGAGCAATTGACTATTTGTAATTTTGCAAGGCAGTTGCCTCATTTTAAAATATATTTATGACTTAATATTTAGGTTGATGGTTTGAATGATGATTATAAAATGGAGTCACAGAGAGATATCCATCACAGGGCAAACGACGATCTAGCTGAGGCTGGATTAGAACATGTACATCTATCTTTCCACTTAACTTCAATATATGATCATTCTATATTTGAAGCTTTTAGTAAAGTGGTGCAGAAGTTGATACCACAACTACCAACTTTAGAGAATCTTCTCAATATTCTTATTTCTGTAAGTATCTGCTGTGTTATTAATAACTATGAATTAATACAATTTTCACTGAAAGTAATATAATTTTTTATATTATAATAAGAATAATATAAATATATGTTTTCAGAACTCTGGAATTGAAAAAGCATTTCTATTTGATGTCGTATCTAAAATATATATAGCAACTGACAGTTCCCCTGTAGATATGCAAAGTTACGAACTCTGTTGTGACATGATCGATGTTGTTATTGATATATCATGCATCTATGGGTGAGTTGTAAATTGCTGATAACTATGTGCTTTATCATGTTTCAATACAATTGAGATAACCCATTTAAATAACTAATGCTTATAAACATTATAAATATTGAATGTGTATATCTAATGCAGAATATAGATAACACTATTTAGAACTATAATGTACTCTTAAGATAAAGTTTTTTTTTCATATGTAGGTAACATTATATCAGTAGAAGCATAGATACACATAAAACATAGTAGTAGTAATTGTTTCAGTTTAAAATTTTCTTTTTAGTTTCTGTATAGTTAAAAAATCATTTTAAGGGTTACAATTACATATTTGAAATTTTTTTATCACAAATAATTTTACTTGTTGCTTAACTTTTTATTTTAATTAATTCGAAATTATTTGTATGTATTTTGAGACTCAATATTTTTTTTAGAATGGTTGATGAAACTGTAGAAATCAACACATTTAACAATCAAAGTTCAAGCTTGATTAAATTAAACAATGGAACTGTACTATACCTCCGTGAAGTAAATAAGTTCCTGGCACTTGTCTGCATATTGAGAGAAGAAAATTTTCAAAAACAAGGTATTTTTCATGTGCTGCTGCTTCTTTAAATTCTCAATCTAACTGTATTTAACACATTATTGTAAAATTTATAGTTTACAGGATATACCAGCAATTTAAATTTCATAAAAATCTTCAAAGATGTGACATTATTTGTGGGGTAAACAAATGGGATTTTCAGAGTTCATTGTTTTTTTAACTCCTATAAGAAAACTTACGCACAATGACCCAGCATCAGATATCTCTTTCACTCGTGCGCAAACACTTGCACATATAGCCAATTTTGTCATAGTAAAATTAACCTTTGTTGTTGTCACGTGACCGTTTAAAGCGCGTGGTGTAAAGAAGAAGGGTGTGACCCCTTCTTACTCACATCAGAACTTAGATAATTTAACATTATGCACATATAGAACGATATTTGTTTCAGAGCGCCATGATAGAAGTGGCGTTTTCTAGAGAAATCTTGTGAATTAAATTAATATTTAGATTTCAACCTATTATACAAATATTTTGTTAGATATATTTCGTGTATAAAACAACTATAAATGTAACTATAAAACAAAAATATTTAAAAAAGTTGTCTACACCCCTATTACTACTAAATGATACAATATTTTCATCAATATACATTAAATACTTTCCATGTCCCATGTGGCTACTCAATTCAAATGATTTAGATTGAATTAGATTCAGGAGCCATTGTTTATCAATGTAAAAGTGGATATATTTTACTACAAATTTCGGGATTTAACCTACAAAATTATTTAATTCCCTACTAAATAAAAAGGTAGTTTTTTTTTAACATCTAAAGTGACTCCTCGATCCATACGGGCATTATATTTTTGACTCTAGCATTCTGAAAATAGTATTCCCAAATATGTATTATCAATCTATAATTTGTAAGTAATATCTGTTTGTTTATTGCAGGTGTGATAGACTACAATTTTTTATGTTTCCGTGATGCTATTACCCAAGTGTTTGAACTAAGAAATAAGTGTCAAAATGCTTTGTCCATACCAAGGACAAGATCGGACTCACCAGAGGCGCAAACTAACGGCGCTGCAGAATCTGTTGAAAGCACCTCGGACAGATCCCAGGCACAAGTACCATAGCATATATAATGTATATTTATATCTTAACCATATCTTACCCAATTTAAAAAAAAATGTAAATTTATATACTATTCGTTGAAGGCTGCAATGTGAATATAATTAATAAAGTATATATGTAACTGTTTTTATAAACGTTTTTGCTTTATATTTGTTTATATTATCATAATGGAATTATCAATAATAAGGTATGAATGGATATTTCTGTTTGAAACTGACTGAAGCGACAGACTATAGATGTGGATGGAATTTTGCATACAGATAGAATATAGCCTGAACTATCGTCGCAAATTATTATTTTTATTTCCAATGAAATGTTCATTTAATTTTTTTATTTTCATTCATACTGACTTACTGATCCGTATTGTGTACAGCTACGTGTATGTTGTCAATAATTTTTTTAGTTTTCTTTTCAAATGAAGAACAATACATCAACAACAATATGTCATCTGGGAAATTTTCAATTATGTAACTAACTATCACGATTCATGAGGTACAGCCTGGCGACAGACAGACACGTAGATTGACGAACGGACATTGGTATTAGTAATAGGTTCCTGTTTTAAGCCTTTAGGTATGAAACCCAAAAACACACCAAGTTCACACCCTCACAGGTGGTGGCGAAAATCTGTATATCAAGGATACTGTAACTTCTATTTAGATTTTACTAAAAAAGTATGGAATACCATTATCCAGATCACTATTACAATTTTATTACTTACATATTTTGTTCGGGTTATATGTTCGATGAAATTAATAAATGTATTTATATGAATAATTTCAATAATCGTACTAAAACCTGTGCTAAAACTTAACCAATATAAATAATCAAAATTACTTAGAAAAAAAAGTATGATTTATTAAAAATATCACTATCACAAATAATGTTAATAAAATTTATACAAGACGCGTATCGTAATATAAATTACTAGATAGCTTCCTACATTTACAAGCGCAACTCACAGATGTATTCGAAGGTACAGTACGAAATGGTGGCTTCATTGGACTTGATGCGGCGGCTGTCAGCTGGTCTACGCTGGCAGTAGGGGCTGTGGGACGTAGCCACCGCTCACGATCCGTTCTCAAACGCTCTATGTGTTGTGCATGAGCCACGCTACTCTGAAGCCTAGCTATACTATCGGTACGAGCCGGCAGTCGTTCTAGACTGTTCGATACTTCACCTACTTCAGCAGTATCTGTATCCACTATTTCTCTGTGGTCCAAGATCATACCAAGATTCAGTTTCAGATTAGCAGAACCATCTCTAAATATCAAATATATCGTCGCTTGATCTAAAACTTTTAAAGAAAATTGTTCATTGATCTTTAGTGCTTTCATTCTGATTTGGAAAGGTTTGAACGTCTGTGACAACTTCTTGCTCTTCTCTTTTATGAAATTGTCAAACTCGATGGCGAGCATGTCTTCGTTATCTGGACGTGATTTATTTATATCGTTTTTCCCCAGTTTTAATATAGTAGGATCTTTGTATGGCATTTGTGTATCTATCATCACTTGTTGAAGAACTGGTGGATCATTTAAAGTATGCCATTTCCAATGTGACACGGGACCAATTGCCCTATCTAATACTACACCCTCGGTCTGGTTATATTTCAACCTTTAAACAGAATAATTTGGATAATTATTTAAAAACATACGAATCTCAAATAACAAACCAAATATGTACAATGAACAGCACGCCAGGTTATACAATAAATTCAAAAATCTCTACTTGAATTTAAAATGTTTTAAGGGGTGGAAAATTACATAACGTGCTGACTTGTCGTGCAATTGTACCTATGTACAGTCAACAGCACGTCAGGTCACAACAGGGTCGCCACCGGTCCCGAATTTTCCGGGACAGTCCCGATTCCAATGGTATTGTCCCGCTTCCCGATTTCTTGTTTATTTCGTCCCGGTTATTGATAACGCTTAATAAGTGTGAATTGATAAGTGTCATGGAAGTACCTACCTATACGTTTTAACGCTATAAATAGTCATATATGTATTTTTTTGTTCTATTTATTTTCAGTGTTACAGAAATATTATTTTATTCATCTCACTATTAATTGTGCCGAGTCAAATAGAAAAACTGCCATCGCGTCACTACTAGTTGATGCACGCGTTATCACGTCAAGGAAAATCAAATAGATAGGGTATTTCTTTACCTTATTTTTCCTGTGTGATCAAAAACCACGCCATTCCCAAGATAGTCAAACGTGGCCAGTATGGTGAACGGTCGAGACCGGCCACGTTCATCTGGTTCACCACTGCTATATACAACGAAGCGTTGCTGAGCGTTCGTTTCTGAGAAGTAGAATAATAAGAGATCGCTTGAAATTTTGTCTCAATAAAGCCCTTATGTATACAAATACACTAGTTTTTGTTGCAGTCAAAAATACCTAGTAATTTTGATTTTATATGCATTCAAAGTTTCGAAAAATATCGAATCCCGCTAACAGCCACGTGACCGCTTGTGACGTCATGTCACAACGCGCCGCGCCCCGCTTAGTATCAAGTCGCCAGCGGTTATAGTAGATATAATAGCTTGCGCAGTATTTTGTTGTGTTTTCGTCCATGTATTAAGTTTATAGTCTTATAATATTAAATATTATTCGATTAATAAAATAGACAAAGGATTCGAAAAAGGGCAATCGGATAATCTACCTAAAATAGATGGATTAAAAGTTGCGCATTATTTATTAACAAATAATAATTTCGTTGCCGCCGAAATGCGAGGAATAAAAATGCATAGGTAAGTAAGCTTTCCTTGCTACTATTGATGCTTAATAGTTTATCTGTTCTAAATTGTTTTATCAAAACAAAATATGCAACTAATATCGGAATGGAAGAATGCAACTCAAATATTAGAAGTACCTACCTACCATTAAATTTTTACGTTAAAGACAAATATGTATTATAGTTTTGTAGTTATAGGTAGGTACGTATGTATATATAGGTACCGCTCTTAGTAAATTTAAATAAATACATACATTGATTTATTGCAAACTAGCTTCCGCCAGCAGCTTCGCCCACGATTCCCTCGGGAGCTGTACATTTTCCCAGGATTAAAAGTAGCCTATGTGTTATTATTACAGACTTCGTCCAGATCTGTTCAGTAGTTTTTGCGTGAAAAATAACAAACAAACACACACACAAACTTTCGCATTTATAATATAAGTAGGAAGTAGGATAGGTACCTAGGATGTAGATGTAGTGGGTTAAACGTTACAGATGTTCTAAACCTTTTTTTTATTTGTATTTTTTTTTACTAACAAAATACGTAAGGCCATTTTATTAAATTATTTTTTTGTTGCAAATATAGAAGTTTGAACAGATGTACTAAACCTTTTTTATTTATTAGTATTTTTTTTTACTAACAAAATACTTGAGGCCATTTTATTAAATTATTTTTTTACGAACAAAATACTTAAGGCTATTTATTTTTATTTGAAACTTATTTCAGATCGGCAAGAAACAGCTATGGCAATGATGTTATTGGTTATGTTCAAGTTAAAAGAGTAGGTGATGTATGTATGTACGGTTAAATGTAGAATCACGCCAAAACACCGCGTACGTACCACACCTTATCATTGCAGTTTAGAATGCAATGAAAAGGATCAAGAAGTATTAAATGTAAACTGCGAAGATTGTGCCGCCAGCAGAGGTGGCTGTAAACATACTGTAGCATTTTTAATGTGGCTACATCGTCGAAATTGAAAAAAATCTAAGCTCTCAGATGTTGGTGCCACAATGAAAACGATTAAAACTAAAGATTTTGGCACAAGTTATAACACTTCATTTAGCCGGTCAGAATGAATTTTTTGTTTTGACAAAGTAGTATTAAAACTTAAAGAGCTTCAAATACAGTGTTCTCTTTCACATTTTATATGTGAAAAAAAAAGACGTTGAGAAGATGTCTATTTATCATAAAAATGTCTATAAAAAACAACCTTCCCGGCGAATTAGTAGTTGTAACTTTAAAATTTAGGCATAACACATGATTTCCTAGTATTTGGATTGGACATTTTTAAAAGTATTTAGGTAAAATTTCGACGGCATGGGCGCGCGACTGCGAGCGGACTAAGTGAGCCAGACTGAGCGTGTTGTGCAATGACGTCACACCGTCACCGGCAGCCCGCGTCGTGCGGTTACAACTTGTTTTACTTCTAAATCGGAAACTAATTGTCGTATTGAAGTAATTCTTTCACATCATCATCATCATCATCATCATCAGCCCATATTCGTCCACTGTTGGACATAGGCCTCCCCAATTGCACGCCATCTACTTCGATTTTCGGCTATTCGCATCCAGCTCCTGCCAGCCATCTTGCGCAAATCATCGCTCCACCGCGCCTGAGGACGTCCTACACTACGTTTGCCGAGACGCGGTCTCCACTCAAGAACTCGTTTACCCCAACGGTTATCGGTTCTGCGGCTAATATGGCCAGCCCACTGCCACTTCAGCTTGCTAATCCGGTGGGCTATGTCGATAACCTTGGTTCTCTGCCGGATCACCTCATTTTTGATTCGATCCCGCAGAGAAACGCCGAGCATAGCCCTTTCCATAGCGCGCTGAGCGACCTTCAACTTGTGGACCAGCCGTGCCGTCAGTGTCCACGTTTCGGCTCCGTATGTCATAACGGGTAGGACGCACTGATTAAAGACTTTTGTCTTTAGGCACTGCGGGATCGACGATGTAAAGACCTGACGTAGTTTCCCAAACGCTGCCCAACCTAGCCGAACTCTTCCATTTACCTCGCTCTCGAAGTTGTTTCTACCAAACTGCAATGTTTGCCCGAGGTATACATATTTTTGAACAATTCCGAGAACGGCACCGCATACTGCAATCGGTTCCGGTAGTACGTGTTCGTTGAACATGACCTTGGTTTTATCCAAGTTCATCCGTAGGCCGATGCGCATAGAAGAGTCAGCCAGGTCATTCAGCATCTGTTGTAGGTCCTGCAGATTTTCTGCCATGATGACGATGTCGTCAGCAAATCTCAAGTGAGAGATGTACTCGCCATTGATGTTGATGCCACGTCCTTTCCAGTTCAGCGTCTTAAACATATCCTCCATTGCATTAGTAAACAATTTCGGAGACATAACGTCTCCTTGTCTCACTCCTCGATGCAACGGTATAGGACTTGTTTGCTGATTCTGTACTTGGACGGTCATGGTGGCGGCCTCATAAATACATCTTATCACTTGGATGTATCGCCAATCGACTTGGCATCGCTGCAGGGACTCCAGAACGGACCAGATCTCAATCGAGTCAAAGGCCTTCTCATAGTCCACAAATGCTAGACACAGGGGCTGATTATACTCTTCAGTCTTCTGTATAATCTGCCGCACTGTGTGGATGTGGTCTATGGTGCCGTATCCACTCCGAAACCCAGCCTGCTCCGGTGGTTGGAATTCGTCAAGTCTTTGCGCAAGACGGTTCGTGACTACTCTAGAAAACAGCTTATAGACGTGGCTTAGAAGGGAAATGGGTCGATAGTTCTTCAGCAGGGTTTTGTCTCCCTTTTTGAAGAACAGGACGACTACACTCCTACTCCACGCCTGCGGAGTTCTCCCTTCGAAGAGGACAGCATTAAAAAGCTTTTGGAGCTCCTTCAGTACCGGTTTACCTCCTGCTTTTAATAATTCAGTTGTAATGCCATCCTCTCCAGGGGCTTTTCCATTTTTAAGCTGTCTCAGAGCGATCTCGATTTCGCCAATGCTGACTTCTGGCAGATCTTCGGTGTAGTGGCGTGTTAATGTGGCTCTAGAATCCTCATTTTCGGGATCAGGTCGAGATGCATGCGAAGCGTATAACCGGGCATAGAAATTTTCCACCTCCGAGAGGACCGCTGGCTTCGAAGCAACGACTTCCCCGCTTGCTGTGGTCAACTTCGTCAAGTGGCTTCTTCCAAGAGATTGTACGAATACTTTTGACCCCCTGTTTTGCTCGATCGCTCTTTCTATAGCGTGAGTGTTGGAGCACCGGAGGTCATATCGTACGCGTTTGCTGATCTCCTGGTTTTGAGCACGTTTTCCTGACGAAGTGACAGGTGGGTTTTCACGTCGTTCCTTCATTAGTCCCAAAGTTCTATCGGAGAGCTTAGACTTCCCGCCCTTACGCTGCATGCTACAAAATTTCGTACCTTCTTCCCTGAGTATTCGAACCACATTTTCAAGGTTCTTGTCAACGTCAATTGTGGTTTCCATGGCAGCGAATCGGTTCTCAAGATTTGACTGAAACTTTTCAGATTCCATCATGGTTTGGAGAGGAGTAGGTCGGAGCCTGGCCTTCATCAAGCGGACACGTTCAGCTTTGAAGTCGATATTCAGAGAGCCTCGGACAAGTCGGTGATCGCTGCCGGTGTTAAACCTATTGATCACGGAGACATCTCTGAATACGTGCTTTTTGTCCGTTATAATGAAGTCGATCTCATTTTTTGTCACATTGTCGGGGCTTTGCCACGTCCACTTCCTTTGGGGCTGTTTCTTAAAGAACGAGTTCATAAGGAAGAGCCCCTCCCGTTCGAGGAAGTTAACGAGCATTTGCCCCCTATCATTCCTGCTTCCAAATCCATGGGATCCTACTACCGATTCGCCGCAATTTTGTACTCCCACTTTAGCGTTAAAGTCCCCCATAACAACGCTGTAGTGGGTCTTAGTAGTGAAGTGGAGTGCCCTCGATATATCATCGTACATATTCTCCACTTCATCGTCCGAGTGTGTCGAGGTCGGTGCGTACACTTGAACAACCTTGAGGCTATACCTCTCAGTGAGCTTTACAATCAGGTACGCCACCCTGTTCGACACACTGGAAATTTCTACAACGTTGTCAGAAAGGGACTTATTGACAAGAAACCCAACGCCACCTTGGGATTGTTGGTCTCCCTCGCGGAAGTACATTAGGTGGCCTGATTCGAGGGTTATGGTATCCTCCCCCTCTCTTCGGACTTCACACAATCCCAGTATGTGCCACCTAATCTTCCCAAGCTCCACCTCAAGTTGAGCCAGATGCGAGTCAAGCCGTAGCGTGCGTCCGTTGTACGTCGCCAGGGTCAGTCGGTTGTGGTGGCCTCCCGTAGCCCGGAGATTCTTAGCACCCCCTGCCTCGCCGTTACCATGGTCGCCACCATGACCAGGAATAGCGAGGCCGCCGGGAACTAGGGGCCGTGGCCTTTTGTGCCTTTGCATTTGGGGGATATGCCCATAATCGCCACGCTGGGCAAGCGGGTTGGCGATCGCAGTATGGTCCAGTTCTGTGGCCCACACAAGAAGACGCTGCTGCCCATCTCCTTGGGTTAAATTTCCCTTAGTCGCCTCTTACGACACCCACGGGATGAAAAGGGGTAGTACAATTCTATACCGGTACTACACGGAAAAGTTCTTTCACTAGTATTTTTTATTTTTGACAGAATATGGAGTGCTAATAAAAAAAAATTGTTAACATTCTTCATTGACATTGCTATGAGGAAGGTTTGAAGAAAAAAAGAAAGCACAAAAAAAGCACTTCACTAGATGGCGACTTTACCAAAAGTTGATTTTCGCAGGCAACGAATGGACCAAAGTTAGTCAATTCCGTTCCTTTTAACATTGGCTTGATATTACGTGGTTATTGAATTAACTAATTACACGATTTGATGAAAGTTAAGATCGTTATTGGTTATTAATGTATTCAAGAATAAGCCTGGTACCTTATGATTAATTTGAGAGAAGTTCACTATGCTAAACATTAAAATATTAGAGGGACTATAAGAAATAGGCTCTTAAAACGTGTCGCAATTGTTTTTGTAATGTAAAGTAAAGATTTACTTAGATCGTGTTGTATACCTGCAAGTTCTACCTTGGATCTGTTATGGAAAAAAAACTCTTAGCATACCTTCCGCATCATAATAGTCAAGTGCCACTCTGCCATTTTTATAAAACCAACGACCACGGCCATTCTCATTAAATTCTGCTAGCTTCTCGCCGCTATCATATTGCATTAGGCGTTTACTTTTGTTATGTTCAAACCAATCGAACTCTGGATGCGCAGGACGCATACGGTATACGTTCATCTAATGATTAAAATTATTATTACTAATTAAATATGATAAATGATACCTTAAAAAATATTAATTAAATTAATTTACTTTGCGCACTACTTTCTCTGTAGGCAATAACGTCCAACCTTTATCGATGAAGGACCGGTCAGACAAAGTGTAGCGGATGATACCTTTAGGAGGTTCTTGTTCGGTCTGTAAAATATAACACCAGTGTAAATTATTAATTTAAGGTGGGTGGACCATGGGAGGCCATGTTCCTTCGAAGGCCAATTATAAAAAAAATAGTTATTGTCATATGATGACAAATTCCTTCCACTTCCAGTTTCCTGCTTAGTGTGAAGCTCTATCAAACCTAAGGGCACAGACGATGCGGCAAATCGCTTGTGACGCTAGTTTGATGGTGTGGTCCCTCGCTTCTTAGACTTCAGTCGTTGAGGTTAAAATTGTAATTCTTGCACACAAGATAAGGTTTTTTTTTAAATGTAAATAACCTATTACAATATTATTTCTTGTTTTGTAACTAATCATAAAAAGATTTCATAAAAAAAAAATCCAATTTCGAGAAATTTAGTTAAAATATCTGAAAAATTAAATCTTGCCCATGTATTTGGCCTTGCTAGAGTACCTGGGTTATACAAAGAATATTTGCAAATCATACTTCGTTTCTAGTTATAAATGCGTAATAGAAAAGTTATTATTTTATTATGATTTTGAATTATTTTAATTAAAATATATTGTATATACTCATACAATAATTGAACAGATGATTCAATGTAAACAAACAAAAAACAGATTATTCCCCGTTATAATTTCAGTATAGACGAAAAAACTTTTGTCATAGATAATAATCGTCAGTTTGGTCTTCTTAGGAATATTTTGCCCTTGCAAAGAACGGACCCATTAAAGGTGTAAATTATTTTAATATATTTATTCTAAAACGCATTGGCAAGGCTTAATAAAAGTAATATTTAATTAGTAGTGACGACATCTAGATTAAAAATAAACAATTTTCAAGTTACACAAAACAAAGCGTTACTTAATAATAAGTTGCTTTCGTTTAACCCGTAAATAAACTAAAAAAATGTTTATTCGTTAGTGTGGCATTCCGTTGTCCACCCACCTTATATAAAAACCAACAAGAAATAAGAATTGCAAAATAATTCTTATTTAATTAGTATTATTGCCGTGAAATAAGGGTTAATTGTATATGAAAATGTAACTAATGGTTCCAAACTTTATTTTATAATCCAAGACAGTATAAAGTTATCGATAAATATGTCTTACTTATGATGATGAGTACCTACTTTAAAAATTAACAGTGAAAATGACCGTAAGCTCAAACCAACGAATGTAAAAGGGTAATATTACAAGATCCCACGGTCCCCAGACGTTACTTATTTTCTCAGTATGAAAATGTATAGAATAATATAGTGTTAGTATATGCTATGAGTGTATGCATACCTGCTATCTTGTATCGATGGTCATTTTCTGGGTACAAGGTGCTAAAAGTACGTAAAACTAGTACTAACTTTTCCCTATTTCTAAGTGCTGATTTTTACGTATGTTTTGGAAAACATCAATAAAAATTAATAATGAATATACTACCAGAGTTATTTCGGTGGCGGTAATTTTTACGAGACGAAGTTTCCAAAATATTAATCTAACTTTACTTACAATCTCACAAAATATAACAGAAGGCAATTACATACCTATAAGTTCACTTTTCATAATTATAATACGTTCGACGGTCAAGTATTCCGTTATATTTTGTGACTGCGCTCATACACTAAGCGATTTTCTGTGTCTGGAGGATGTTAGATTCCTCCGATTTGGTCAGACTGCTTTCATAAACTATTGAATTACTTCCCTGTGTAATATATAAATATCAAAAATGAGATTTTAAGTATAATTAGTACCAAAATAGGCCATCGATACAAGCTAGCAGGCATGCATACACTCATAACATATATTAACACTACATTATTCTATACGTTTTGTGGTCGAATAACTTACGGTGTCATTTTTTTTGCTTCTAGACATTCCTCAAAAAAATAATTAAAAAAATAACATACAAAATAAACTTGTTATCAATAAAATCAAAAACTAACAAGAAATGAAATAATAAACGGCTCCGAAATAAACAGTCGAAAAATCAATTCTATGACTTTGTCAAAACATTGAAGAATGAATGTTTATTTCAAAATAATGGCATATGTGTCAATTTTAAACAAATCATTTTAAAAGAAGTTTTTGCTCAATTTTTATCACGTGGTTTGTTGGTGCTAAAACATATAGTCCATTTTCATTTATTATACAGGGTGTCATAGAACTCAACGTCAAGCCGAAACGGAAACAGGATTGATTATAATCGTCATAAGAAAAATCACAAAAAATATCATGCAGTTTGAAAATTATGGGCATTAAAGAAAAACCTAGAAATTTGGTCAAACTGTAACCATTTTTCGGGTTTTGTGGTTAATTTTTATTCTTTTAAACTTTGGAACCGTTAATAACATTTTTAGAATCACAGTAAAAAATAATGACACACTTGCACTAGTTTTCTAGAATTAACTATGAACTTAAAAATTTCAAAAATTGTCGACTTTCAAAGGCAGGAAGGCCTTAAAAAAAGTACTAGAGTAGCTTGGCAAGTGCCATTAAAAGTTGGCGCATTTAATCAGGATTTTAAAATGGTACATACTCAAAAGAACGAGTAAAAAATAAATCCTCAAGTAACCCGATATTTGCTAACTCATTTTATTCAGTTAAAATTTTTCAATCGCACAAGTTCTTGGTAGGTTCTTAATATTACAACAAAATGATGCGAGAGATGAAAAGTAGACATGTTTGTCATGAGTGAGCGAGACAGATAGTGACGCCACTTTTATCAAAGTCAAAGTTTAGGTTTATTGGAATAAAAGTCCGATAGGGAAATAATTTTTTTTTTTACTACAAATGGTCAAATTGCTTACCATCCAGCCTCAATACACGCCCTACATCTTAAAAAAAAAATCTAATTATTAGCCGGGCATATCTTCCGACAGTTGATGTCCTCAACAACTCGACGTAAAAGGTTCACGCAGCTCTGCTACGCTCTCGATGTGCTTTGAATAAACTTTTTCGTTGAGAGCGCCCCAATAAAAAAAATTCACGGATTCATATCTGGGGAACGGGCTGGCCACGAGATAGTGCCTAAATGTGATTGGACATTCCTATATTCCTGGTCAAGGACATCTCTACTTGCACTGCGTAATGCGCTGGGCAGCAATCGTAGTTGTGTGGTAACAACTGTTGTGTGTGTGGCGACGATCTGTTAGAGGTACGTCTACTAACGAAATTGGAAAATTTTCTCGTAAAAATGTAGGTAATTCGTCCCATTCAAGTTCTCAGGCAGTTCAAAAGGCCCAACAATTTTGCCGTTTAAAATTTCGATCCACAGGTTTACTTTAAAGCGATACTGGGATCTGTCTTCTCCCATTAAATGTGGATCTTCCACATGCCATTCGTGAATATTTTGTAAGTTTATGTAACCCTCTTTTTAAATTGTAGTTGCTTGAGACCAGAGAATTTTTGGGATAAATTGGGGATTTTCATTATTCCTCTGCAGCATTATTCTACAAAATAATATCCTTTCAGAATAATTTCGAGGGAGAAGACTTTGAAATCGTTTTACTTTAAACGGATGTTTTTCGGCTCTTTGTAGAATACGATGAGCTGTGCGTTTGGGTGTTCCCGTTCTTTCTACAATTCCACGAACAGAAACACTCGAGTCATCTGCGACCTCTTGCAACACCTCTCTCTCGTAAGGAAAGCAAGGTCTACCTCCAGCCCGTATTTGATTCGGGAAATGGCCGCCCTCCGTGATTGAACGGCGCGCATTAACAAACACGCGGTGAAATTTGGATATTTTTCACGATAAAGTCTAGCGGCGGCATTTGCATTACATCTGCATTCGCCATAAGTGAATGTTCGCTTAGGCAAGGTAGATAACAAGGATGCCAACACAAAAGTCCAATCCCAAAAGAAAAAACCAAAGTTGCCGGTATGTAATCAACAAGTCCAATATTAATGACATTTGCATACCTAATTCAAATGTAACTTTTTCATTTTTTGCTTTTATCCATTTTTTGTCATGGAAATAAAAAGGCTTATTATTATTATTTTCAAGGTAAAAAATGTAGGAGCAAAAATGTTGTCTCAGTTCTAAAATGTACCAACATTTATGCAAATAAAGAATTAACAATTACAAAAATTAATAACGTACCAACAGTGCCAAGACACTCTAGTACTTTTTTTTTAATTCATAGTGTAACAAATAGTCTTAATTTAAGGAAACTTGGGGCAATTGTGTCATTATTTTTGACTGTGTTTCCAGAAATCTTATTAACGGTTACGGCTCCAAGGTAAAACGAAGGAAAATAATAAAAATTAACCACAACCGAAAAAAGGTTACAGTTAAACCAAATTTCTAGGGTTTTCTTAAATGCCCATAATTTTCAAACTATGGGATAGAATTTTTTCCGATTTTTTCATTTTCTCATGATGATCAATCAATCCTGTCACCCTGTTTTGGCTTAACGTTGAGTTTTGGGACACCCTGTAAAACAGTGCCTTCGAGGTAGAGATAATAAGCAGTAAATTCGCCTCGTATACATTTTTAAAGTTGTCTTAAAAGTTTTATTACAATGATCTCGTGTCTCCGTTGTAAATTATTCAAAGTCACGAAAATCATTTTTTTTTTCGATTATTTCAGTTTCTATCATTCAAAGATTTGCTCTAAACAGCGTTTGTACCTACACTCAACCGTTTTTGGGATAAAGTCCACTTACACCCACTCAACCACGAAAAACCGAATGAATGTTAATGTTTGACGAAACGACTTGGCAGATTTTATGACTTTTGTGAAAATATTTAAAAACGCCAAGTTTCATGAGTTTCTAGAATTAGTTAATAGCATTATTTCCTATTAATATTATTTTCAATTATTTGAATCTACTACATACCTAAATGATATCAGTTCATTGTTGGACTCAACTTGTGGCGTGATAGGATTTATGAGTATATTACAAATGTATTCGCGTATGAATAAAATTCAACTGATATATGTATAGAGAGAATCATTTAAAAAACAGGTTAAATGCGAGTTACCTTCACATCGAAAGATTGATTGAGATTTTCAACTTTAAAAACTACTTACTGCTTTCGTTCCTTTTGCTGTTACTGGTGATGGTGTTTTTAAACATTCTTTTTCGGGAGGCTCTTCATTTTTCTTTTCAATTTCTTCGATATTTTTATCGGCCAATTTAAATATACTAATCTGTTCGTCTTTTAAAGGTGCTTTATATTTATAAATTTTTTCACCTATTATCATATTCGCAAATTCATCGCCAATGTTTTTATGGCCAAGAAGACTTTCTAGTTCTAATTCAATGTCAGATTGATTACATATAATACAACCATTTTTTAAATCTTTGTTATGCCTTTTATGTCGCGCTAACATATCCCTTGCTTTCTGTTCATCGTTTTTCTTGTATAAAATTTTACGAGCACCTGATTTATGTAACCGAACTAGTCTTAATAATAAATCGTCACCCGACTGTTTTTTCATTTTAATATGAGTAATGCTCAAATCGGCTTTGTTTGGTTCAAAATGATCACGTTTAGTTTTTGGAGATAATGGAGATGGTAATTTCTTCGCAGGTTTCTTTGTATGAGGAGATGATTGTTTTTTCGTTACGTTGCTTGTAGCTTTATCGGCTGCTTCATTTGCTTTTCTTTGCTGGTCTTCCATAAGTTTTTTCTGTTTCGAGTCTTCTTCTTTCTGTTTATTCTGTGCTGCGAGAAGTTTCAAGAATTCATCAGCAGCTGCTTTATCATCTTTTCCTGCATTATTTTCTTTTACATTTTTTGCATCGTTTTCCTTTGTTTTTTTTTGTTCATTGTCTTTGACTGGTGATTTAGAGTTTACGTTTTCTATTTCTTTGGAAGATTTTTCTTTACTTTCTTCATGTGCAGGTCTCAAATCTTTTTTGTGCCTTTCCTTCTTTGTTTCGTTATCTTTGTCAGATTTCATATTACTATCTTTTTTTTTCCTTTCAATGGTGTCTTCAAGTTCTTTTTCTTTTTTCGTCACAACGTCTTCTCTCTTACTCATTGAATCATTTAAAGGTTTTTTTCTATCTCTTGTATGTTGAACATCTTTTTCCGTAATACTAATGTCTTTATTATCTCTATTTTTTGAAAAGCCTTTCTTTAGATCCTCGGTAGTTTTATCTGACAGTGATTTAGTTAATTGTTTTCGATTTGAACTACTTGGCTCTTCCTTAGATTCAACTGGTTCATCATAACTTTTTTCTTTTACTTTTTTTAATTTATCGCGAGTAATAACAACTTTTTGGTTATGAGATTGTTCAATTTTATTTTTCTTAGATGCTTCTTTAGTTTGTTTTGATTCTACATTTTCGATGGTTTCTATTTCTTTCTTTTGTTCTATACTTTCTGCCTCTATTTGAGTTCTTTCTAAATTATGTTTTAAATCGTCATCAGTAAGAGTTTTTTCTTTTTTTGTGTCATCAAAAGCAATTTCTTTCTTTTCCTTCGTTTCTTCCTCGTGCAACAGCCTTTCTTTTTCTTTACTTCTTTTCTCTTTAAGAGCAATTTGTTTTTCCTCTTTCTCTTTTCTTTTCCTACTGTGTTCTTCCTCACGTTTATTTCTTTCTTTTTCAGCAATTTCTCGTAACATATTTTGTGTATTACTAATTAATTCAGAAGAACTTGCAAGTCTTGGCAGTTTCTTTGTAGAATCATCAACTTCTTTTGGAAAACAATATTCAAAACCATTATTTAATTGGTCATCATCTAAACCTGAAATTACATTTAAAAAACTATCCTCCGAGTTATACTTTTGAGATAGTGTATGTAATAAGCTCTTTTCAAACACGGTATGCACGTCAGGCATAGATTTCGTCAATTTAAGGGTATCAAGGATTGATTTCGTGTCAACGTCTGTTTCAAGTTTTATATATTGCTTATTTTTAAGTTTATCAATTTTGGAATCACGCTGTTTATTTAATTCAAAATTGATGTCACGCCAATTCTTCGTTGTCTCGTAATTATCATAAATTGTTTTATCAATTTTGGAATCATGCTCTTTATTAAATTCAAAATTCATGTCATGCGATTTCCTTGTTGCTTCATCAGCAGAATTAAGAGTCTCTGAGTGCAGAGTGTCGTCATCACCAATTGATGACCAATCATCACCATAAGTCAAATCTTCATGTGATCGCGACGAAAAAAGTACATTTTTGGTTACTGTTTTTCCTCTTTTTGTCTTTGTCACCCCTGGATGAATATGTAACGAACGATGCCGTCTAAGACGAGCCCACGGGGAACTTTTTCTCATTGTTCCTGGATCTAATGCATTATCAATTTCTGGTTCTGGAGATAAAGCTGGGGTATTATGGCGTAGATTTAAAAAGTTCAAGTGGGACAATATCCCGCTTTTTTCACGAACAAGTTTATTTTTCCAAATAACGTCATTCAGTAGAATATTAACTTTAGACAAGTGCTTTTTAAGATTTTGTTTTTTACATTCGCTATCATCATCTTTTCTAGTTTTGAGAAATTCTTTGACTACTTTATCACATTTTATACAAGAAGTAAGTTTTTTAAGGCAGTGATCGCAAACTCCCATTATTTCATTTCCTTTAACTTTCGGTACTATTTCTAGCATTTTTTTTGCACTTTTAAGAAGATGTATGCAACGAGGACAACTTATACCATACTTATCTGTAAATTAAACATAATTTAATTATGTACTAGCATAAATAATAAATGTTACTTCATTCTTGTTAAATACACACCAAAAGCCTCCATGACATTTGCGGATATTATATCATTTTCTTTAGTATTATGCAATATGAATATATCTTCTGGATTTTTTGACGTAGACTTCATAACACTTTCTTCATTAATCTGGCGAATATAGATAATTTGTAAAAGTAAATTAGAATAGATATAAGATAGGAATTATTTTTAATAACTTAAAACTAAAAGTATTTCAATACTGTACTTACATATTTTAGATGAGAATTAAGACGATAAATGACTACACCAGTATTCTTTAGATCCACTATTTTTTGGAATTCTTCATGGGCATCATAACAGGGGCAGTGTAACATATTGTCTCTGTAAGTTGAGTTTACGGAGTAAATTCATTTAAATCAATTATTTAAAATAGATAAATTAAGACTCTTACCTGAATTGCAAATCCATAACAATTTTCTCTAAAAATACAAAATATCCAGTAGATAAATAAATAGAAAAGCTTAACATAAAATATCCATTACAAAATGATTGGTACGTATGTCAAATTGACAACAATCTGATTTACATTTACTCTACCATTTAACTATTCTTTGATTCTTTGACACAATAGAAAGAAAATCTCAAAGAAATCTTCTTATATTAATAAACTAGCTTTCAGTCAGCGGCTTCACCCGCATGTTTTTTGCATTCACGATAGGTTCGCAGTTTTGCTTTTGCAAGCGAACGCGTCGGTGTACTAACGGAGTAAATATTACAAAATTATATTACCTATTTCTAAATTACTTTCCGAATGTGGTACTCGTGCTTAAAAATTTATTAACATTACACGTAGGTTCTTTTTTAGTTTAGTAGGTAAATACAAACACAATCACTCTAGAGGTTTCGGAGCAAAAAGACGGACCAACAGACATATCCTCTTTTGGGATGTATTTTACGTTTTTAAAAGCTTTACTTTTCCAGTATACAAAGATACTCTATGGCTTTACTTTATACTTGCCGTGTGTTTTGTGTAGGTCAAATATTACAAACTAATTTTTACCACCTCTCCGGTTATCGATGAAATTTTGCATAAACACTTAGCACACGTAAGTACTATAGGTAACTAATGCAAATTATTATGGAATCTGTAATTAAACGAAGCAACCTCAAACAGTTTCGACTACGCTACTCGAGCTTGGTGGAAGGTGGACCCGTGAGTCTTAATATTCGGAATTTATTAATTATTTTAGCCGTATTTAAACCTAGTTAACGGTGCCATACAGTTGGTTTTCACTTGAACCAACCGCAATCAGTTTTATACATTGTTATAGGTAGATTTTTTCGAGAAAAAGAGACAGTTGCATTTTTTTTTCAACGTGATCAGAGCAAGACCGCATAACATCATTAGTTTGTGATTGACTATTTCAACAGTGAGTTTCAATCAGCATCAGTGCGAATAATTAATTACCGCGCCTAACTGCATAATATCCGTTACAAAAATAAATAAATATACCTTCATAAAGAAAAGGTATTGCGAGTGAATATTGAATAGTGTTTCGTTTTGTTCTACAAATAAAATGAGTATTCGTCGTAGCCCTCCGGGTAATAACAGCGGTTCCTACCCTAATCTTTCTATATTGAAAGACGACGAATTCATGCCAGTTACGGCAAGAAAACGAAAAATCCCTCACGGCGAGAATATGAAGGACATTCGCCATGAAATAGCAGACGCTTTAACCGAGCATCGCCAAGAACTAAAGGATACCTTACTCGAATTTCAAAAACAAATGACATCATCATTTGAAAAACTACTGGATAAGCAAAATGACAGTATTAAAAAACTTCATGATGAGATGTGCAATATTAAGTCGGAAATTACTGAATTAAAGATGAATCACTCTAATAAAAAAGTTCAAACTGAAATGAGAGAAAACTTATCAAGATTTAGTGGTTTGTATTAAAACCTGAAGGATAAGTGTGTGATATTGGAGCACGAACTAATCAATGCAAAGCAATGTATTTCAGACATAACCGAACAGTATCGCTCTTTGGATCAGCGTGGCCGCATGAATAATCTAGAAATTTCTGGAGTTCCCCAAATAAAAGGTGAAAATCTGAATTCAGTAATGCATAAGATTGCTTTAAAGATTGGTTTTGATCTATCCACTATAGATGTTGATCAAATTCATCGAGTTAGACGCTTTGTGAACTCCTCTGACCAACGCAATATATCAACAAATCACTCATTACCCTCGCCGAATATAATAGTGAAATTTACCCAATACAAAAAGAAAAACGAGTTCTTGGCTGCCGTTCGAGCGCGCCGTGGATTGACAACAGCTGACATTGACCTTGACGGAGCTGCAAAACCAATATTCATCAATGATCATTTATCACCTCAAAATAAAATAATGTATGGACGAGTTCGTAGGTTGGGCAAGGAGTTGGGTTACAAGTATATATGGCTGAACGATTGCAAAATATTTTTACGGAAAAATGATTCTTCGAAGGCCATTTTAATTAGTTGTGAAAAAGACTTCGAAAAAATTAAGTGACTATTAGTGATAATCATTATCGTACTTCACAAATTTGTATTGATTAAGTTAATTTTACTTATTAAGTTGATATATAGTTGTATAAAATTTATTGACAGGGGAAGCATAAATTTATTTGTGATTAAGGAGCAAATATTAGTTTTGATAGATTACATTAACCTTATTTATTGTAAAATAAATTCTTTGTGCAATAGCTTAATCGATGTTAATCCTAAATTTTATATGTTGCGGGTTATTGAGTATCATAAAAATAAAAAGAAGGTGGTACAATTACTATTTATTATTTTATTACCCTATTGTGCACTATTTAATACTATAAGATGATTTCGGAACATATCTTATCAATTTATTACCAGAACGTGAGGGGCCTGCGCACAAAGTCTCATGCATTTTTGACTAATGTATTAAATAATAATTTTGATATAATTTGCATAACTGAATCTTGGCTTAACGATTCATTTTATAGCTCTGAGTTCTTCGACGATCGAGATGAGGTGTATAGGTGCGATCGCGACGTTCAATCTAGTGGTTGCACTCGCGGCGGGGGGGTGGTACTAGCGGTACGACGCGAACTTAATGCGATTTTGCAATCTGCCTGGTGCGCGGCGCCGCCCGCTGACGAGCTGTGGGTGAGCATGCCGCTGCGCGGCCGCCGCAGTGTGGACACCCTTGAGGGTCAAGTAGCTCCAATACCAATACTTTTACACGTTGCTTGTACTTATATACCTCATGGTGCGAATCATGAAGCGATGTTAAACTTTTTTTATGAACGAACAGAAAACTTAATTCACTCTCATTCTAAGGATGTTTTTCTTGTTCTTGGGGACTTTAACGTTTCTAATGCACATTGGCAGTATAACAAACAGCTTGATTGTATGATCGTGCAGGCTACTAGTGATCCATTAACGAACTTAACTAGTGATTTTATGAATTTATCAGTAGTCAATCAATACAATAATCATTTTAATAATAATAAACACATATTAGATTTAATTTTTTGCACTGAACATTGTTCTGTAAAACTGCCTTACTCCCCGCTCGTACCGGAAGACGTTCATCATAAAGCACTGGGGGCCAATTCTACTAAATAAATTTTGTTTAAATCGAATCGAAAACGGAACGAAACCGAACGAATCTACAACTTTTAGTGGTTTTCCTATTCTACTCGGTGTCAAAATGGCGTCAAACGATACAGTTCCGGTTCTATTTTAGTTTAGCTAACTATCGATCAACAGAAACTGTAAACGGTATTCTACTCGCTCAATCGAACATAGAACTATACAGATGTAGTTATGCAAACCGGAACCAACCCACAAATCTGTCAAAATCGAATTATGTGCAGAGAAGCCTAAAAGTGTTGCAATTAAACTCACATGTTGTAAATTCACAAAATTTCTTGATAAATAAATAAAATAAAATATATTCTACAAACAATTATTACTAAAAACAAGAAACCGATTTTTCTCAAAACTGACATCATGTGGCTGGTTTGCGTAACTACGTCCATATACTTGAGTCGATCGTCGGCCCTTATTCCACTAAAATTTTGACACTTCGTTGGATCGAAACGCTACCTACTGAAACGTTACTAAATCCGAACGTTTCATCTGTCAAAATTAACGGTTTCTAAAAAGTTGCAAATTTCTACTTTTTGACGATCGATAGTTAGCGTTTAATGATAGATGTGAAACAATTTATATTATTTAAAATTTTAAGAGGTGCAATTAGGTACCCCCAATTGCTGAGTGAAATAAAATACCTTGATCCATCTTCAGAATTGATAATTAAAAACATTTTGCCCTACAAAAGTAACTTCGGCAAACATATTTGTAGTGTTTGTATAGAAGAGGTTTTATCTCGGTACATTGGAGAGCTGCGAAACGTGTTCTTCGGTACCTGAAGGCTATAAAAAATAGGAAACTGACCTATAACAATAGTGGTGATCTAATCGGATTTGCTGATGCCGATCATGGTGGTAATCTGGTGGACAGACGATCTTATACAGGATATGTTTTCCAAATGTGTGGTTCAGCAGTGTCATGGGAATCACGTAAACAGAGAACCGTTGCAACATCAACAACAGAAGCTGAGTACATGGCTCTAAGTGAAGCCTGTAAGGAAGCCATCTACATTCGCTCATTACTAAGCGACATCTTTTGCTTTTCGTCACCCATCACCATTAATTGTGACAATCAAAGTGCCATCAAATTAACAAAAAACAACACGCATCACGCCCGCACAAAACATATTGATATTAGACATCATTTTGTTTGTGAGTCTATATCCACTAAACAAGTCAATGTGTCATTCATACCATCAGCTCACCAAACAGCAGACATTCTCACAAAGCCACTGTTTAAGCTGAGACACTATATGTGCCTAACTAATTTAAGATTAGTTTAGTGTTATTTGTTTTGTGTTATTAGGTTAATTAGGTTAGGGCATCAGTGTTAAGGTACTTTTGATATTATAGTGTTTTTGTACATACAGTGTGTTTATATAAAGGGTGTACATAAGTGTCCTGATTACGGGGAGGTGTAGATAAAACCTTTTTCTATATTAATCAGACACTGGCATCTTTTCATATACCTTTTTGAATTAGTATTTTATACACTGTTTATTGTTTTTTATGTCACTCTCTGCTTTACTCTCATCTGACTTTTATGTATTTACAACATGAAATATATTAAATAGTCCAATCCACTGTGACTTTTAATTCCTACATTTTAAGAGTTTGTGAGTGAGTTATCAATAGACTGTAAAGAACATAATAAGTTGTGTAAATCCATTGATATGTTTGCTTTATCATTAATTATTTATAAAAATACCTTATATTAAGGTACCAAAAAATTTTAATCTTTAACTGTCTAGCACTTCAAGCATAAAACTTTTTCTATCCAATATTATTTATTTCACAAAGATACAAGGATACTTTCAATGAGCACCCTGACGTCTGAAGTAAATATACAAAATCTGGGTATCAAACACCAGATTCCTCATCTACATCATGAGAACATAGCAATCCATGTGATATAAATTATGTAAAATGAAAACTATGGAGCTAGATAAACAAGTGTGATAGTGCATGCATATGTTTAATAAACTTTTTATGTACACCGTTTCAACTATTTGTTATAGATAGTTCTGTAATTTTGTGGTTGCTTATTGATATGTAAAAATGTTGGCAGATTTTAAAAATAAAATAAATTATATCTTGATTATTAATCTTAAATTATTATTTTTTATTAAAAACTTACATTTTATAGATAAATTAATAGGTTTTCATTCCTCTATCAATTTGAAATGTTGAATTCATATTATGTAGATTCTTAACATAAATAAGGTCCACCTAGTTGAGGCATGTAATGTAAATTAAAATTGAAAAATTATATTTCTGTTAAAACTTTACATAATTATAAACAATCATTGTAAATAGGAACATCGTAAAAATCATTATTAGATTGTAGGGGCTTTTGGCTTTAAGTAAACTTATCTATGATTATAAAAACATGAATTTTTGAATATTTTGTATTGAAAAAAGTAAACTATTGTAGTATTTTTACAGGAAAA